CAAAATAGTTTCTTACCGGGAAGGTCCACAATGGACAATATTATCCTCACACAGGAAATCGTTCACTCGATGCGGCAAAGGAAAGGGGGCAAGGGCTTGATGGCGATTAAGTTAGATCTTCACAAAGCTTATGACAGTATCAACTGGGAGTTCCTCGAGTACACTCTAGAGGACTTCGGCTTCCCCCATCAACTCATCAGGCTCATAATGTTCGGGATAAAGGAAAGCTCTATTTCCCTACTTTGGAATGGGGAGAAGCTCATGCCATTCCAACCGGGGCGGGGCCTCCGGCAGGGCGACCCCATTGCCCCGTATCTCTTCATCCTAGTCATGGAAAAATTATCATGGGATATTCAAGAAGAAGTCCGTAAGAACCACTGGAGACCGATAGCCATCTCAAGGAGAGGCACCGGGGTGTCGCACCTCTTCTTTGCAGATGACCTTATGCTTTTTGCTGAAGCATCCGAAGCTCAAGGGCGTGTTATTATGGACTGTATGGAAGACTTTTCCAAGAGATCGGGGCTTAGCATCAACATCGGTAAGTCGAGTATTTTCTGCAGCCCAAACACAAGTGTCAGTATCAAAAACAGTTTGAAGAGGACTACAGGCATCCCAGTCAATGACAACCTGGGCAACTACCTCGGTGTCCCAATCATTCACCAACAAGTCTCAAAAAATACCTTTGGGTATATCCTTGAAGGCATGAAGAGGAAACTGGCCAATTGGAATCTGACTCGCTTAGCCTAGCCGGTCGGAAAGTTCTCGTTCAATCTGCTCTTGCATCCATGCCGGTGTACTCCATGCAAGTCTTCAAGCTACCTGTGGGGGTGACCAATGAAGTGGATAAAATTTGCAGGAATTTCCTTTGGGGGGGATTCAGAGAATAAAAAGAAAATGCACCTTGTGGGTTGGAATGACATTTGCAAACCGAAGGTTTCGGGCGGCCTGGGGCTTAGACGGTGTGCTGATTTCAATGATGCCCTCCTTGCTAAGTTAGCTTGGCAAATTAATACTTGCCACGACAAAATTTGGGTTCAAGTCATGAAGGAAAAATATGTTAAAGATGACAACTTCTTCCTTGCCTCCAGCGCTAGTAACTCCTCCTTGGGGTGGAAAAGTGTTCTGAGAGGTCGGTCTATAATGGAACTTGGGGCAGCCTGGCGGATTGGTAATGGCAACTCCCTCAATTTTTTTTCGGATTGGTGGGTCGGCGACAAACCCCTTGGACTCCTGGACGAAGTGACCATTGACGATGACATAGGCCAGGTAAAAGTTAGTGATTTTATTTTAACTAACCGGAGTTGGGATATTGACAGGTTAAGCGCAATGCTCCCTCATGACGTGGTGAATATGATAAGGGCCATCCCAATCCCAATAGATGAGAGATCGAAGGACGCCCTCTACTGGCCGAATTCTCCCTCAGGTAGTTTCTCGGTAAGTTCTGCCTTCTCTTACATTGCAGGTGACACGGAGGTGACGGAGGATTATAGTTGGCTCTGGAAAGTTGGTGTCTCTGAAAGGTGCCGCTTCTTTTTGTGGCTCACGGTGAAAGGAAAGTTGCTGACCAACGCCGAAAGGCACAGCGGGGGCTCGTGGAGGACAGCACATGTTCAGGTTGCGGCGAAGATGACGAGTCCACAATGCATATTTTTTCTGGTTGCCGCTTTGCCAAAGACTGCTGGAAGAGAACAGACATCCCAGATAGTTTCTGTTTTGGGCATCAGACGCAATCCTGGGAATGGTTTAAGAGCAATTGTTGTTCTAAGGCCATTGTTAATGGCTTCCCGTGGGCGGTCAAGTTTGCGTATTCCTGTTGGGAAATTTGGAAGGCGAGAAACAGGCGAATTTTTGACCTCCAAACTCCAAATCCAGTGGACATTGTTCGGCGCTCCTTGGATCTCACCAAGATCACGATGGAGTTGAGTAGGCATCCAGCCGCTAACAAGTCTGGGAAGATTCGTTGGGTCTCCTGGAACCCGCCTGACGGTGAGTGGATCAAAATCAACACTGATGGGGCCTTTAAATCGAACACAAAGACCGCTAGTGCCGGTGGGTTAGCTCGGAACCACAAGGGAGACTGGCTGTTCGGGTTTTATACTAAAATCGGGAATTCTAATAGCTTTGCCGCGGAGCTGTGGGGCCTAAGGGAGGGTCTGCGGCTGGCAAAGGCCAAGGGGTGGGACATGTTAATCTTTGAACTTGATTCAGAAGTAGTCATATCGGTTATGAAAGGGGAGGAGGAAGTCCATGAGGCTTCGTCGACTCTTGTCAGAGATTGCAAATATCTAGTAGCCCGGTTTGATAATATTGTCTTCTCTCATACCTTAAGAGAGGGCAATAAGAGTGCTGATCACTTGGCAAACCTTTGGCAACATGGGGAGTGGGGCACTTCCTACTTGGTTGATCCTCCAGCTAGCCTTGAGACGCTCCTTGCAGCGGATGCTTTCGGGGCTAGCTCGGTTAGAGTCTGGTAGTTTTTTAGCTTGTTTCCTTCCCGTTTCCACGGGTCCAATTTCACCAAAAAAAAAAAAGAGTTACTAGTACTCAAAAAATAAATAATAAGTAAGAGACCCTTGACATTTTTCATAAATAAGTGAAAATGTGAATAAATAAATAAAAATGCATATATTTTTATTTCAAAATAATGCATGCCGAGACGTTTAGTACAACTGATTTTGTTGTAGTATTTGTTCAAATATACTTAACATATCACTCCATTGGGGCTCATGGCTAGATTTTATTTATTTATTTATTTTTGTCGTCCCTTCTTATAAATAAATGAGGTTTGGCTAAAAGAATAAGTGCAATTTTTAAAATCAATATTGTAAAATATATAATTTTTATTTCAAATAAGTATGAACAATGTAACACTAGATGAACGCAAAAAATCACAATTCCTACCTGTAAAATATATGATTATTTTTATCAAATATGATTATTTTTATCAAATAATTATGAACGGTGTAAATATTAGACCCTCTAAAACTCTTGTGGCCCTATGCTGTTGCTACGGGTGGAAATAGGTCGAGCCGAGTTTTAGAGAATGCTTTAGAGAATTAGGCATGGGCTTGTTACGAAAACCTAAGACCTGGGCTTAAGAGCCTATATGTAGGCTTTTTGTTACAATCGTTATATCGTGCACCAGGGCGCACATAACAATGTGTGTCCCCGCCTCCCAAAACGATGTCTTTTTGTTAATTTCAGGTATAAAATTTGGTGCATTATATTATATAATAATTCTGTACATTCAAACCATGAGAATTTTCAGTTATAAAATTTTGTGTTTTCAGGTATAAAATTCTGTGTATTCTATTATACAATTCTGTACATTTGAAACATGATTTTTTTTTAAGAGTTAACAGCAGACACGAAAAGGTACAAAACGACGTCGTTTTGGGCTAGGGCGCACAAGTGCACGGTATAATTTGCCTTTTTGTTAGGCTCAAGCATGAGCCTACAATTAGCCTAGCCTGGCATGAAACCTTTTTTAAAAGCCTGTTAATATGCAGACCATTAAAAAAGGAGTTAATTCCAGCAATGGTCCTCCGACTATTGTGATTTTTTAAAATTAATCCTCATCTTTTAATTTGGACGAAATAGACCCTTGACTATCAGATTTGTTCCACCATTGGTCCTTTCAAGAAACATTAGACAAGTAGAGGAGTACAAGCGTAATTTCCTTAGTTATGTCTCTTCTTGTCCTTCCTGGCTTCTTATTCATGGCTTCAGTAATTTTCGGTGGGTTTAGCGGAGTGCATGGGGGCCGTGCCCGGTGGATTTGGATTTAATTGGCGAGGAAAGCGCAATGAAGTGTTTCTGACTTAAACCCACGCAAGCCACTTCCTTTTCGTCTCCATCTCAAAATTACCTTATCCAAGAGTCCAAGATTCCAATGACCAGATTATCTTTCTAGAGTTCTTCCTCACCTGGTGTCCTCTTACATGTGACTTTTACGCGAAAGAAAGAGCAACAACACATGTAAAAATTCAGGAGCAGAGATGAGTTTGGAAGATTATTATGATGAAATGGAAAAGAATAAAAATGTAAAAGACCAAAAAAAAAAAAGTGCTTATATCCATTTTGTACCCACAACAACACACCTGAATTTTAATAATTTGCTGTCGAATTAGAAGAAAATCCTTTCGTCCCTTCAAGCTGCAAAATTTGTTTTGTATGCGCATTGCAGCAACATGTAAAGGTTCATTAGTTTGTCCTGCTCTGTTCTTCCTCACAGCAAGAAGTGAAAGGGCACGCTCATCTGATAGTCCAACTTCACCATCACCATATTCTTTTATCTGCTTCAATTCCTCTGGAATGATTGGACTCTGAACTAGACCTCCATGCGTGTGTCTTGAGCTCGAGATGGCAAGGAGCTTGAGTAGTTTGCATTTTATTGGTGTAACGCGGGCTGATTTATCGCTGTTGCTCCGGGATTGTTTTGTTTAAAACAGCTAGCCTACTGATGAGCTTGCGAATTTGGACGATGTGTAACGAACGGATGAGATTTGAGAAGACGCGGCACTCCGTAGCTGCTGCCAACGCTGGCTTCTGCATCGCGATAATATACGCGTGTGTCCTTTCATCACATCTTCACTAACCATGCATGCATGAATGTGTCAGACCCATTATATCAAATCATATTATATTATACTATTAAGATCAATCATGCTAGTTTAGCTACTTTTTGTTTCAGAATATATATATATATATATATATCAGCTCCCCACCCTTCCTTGTAAGCCACTTCCTTATGGGCGGTAGTGATGGACTGATGGTGGTGGCTATGGTGTGCAGTACGCAAGTGGAAGGAAGGAGAGTAGTACAGAGACGATTGGGGGGTGAAGGGCAACCAGGAGGTTCAAGAACTGCGTGGATGAGTACAACATCGCCGATTATCATTCTCCCTTCTCACCGTAAAGGAGGAGGAGACCCACAACCTATTGCTTCAATTCCTCTCCCCACAAACCTCCCGTTGCAATTTCCTCTCCTCACTCTAGCACCGGCTCCCATGCACCTTCACTTCATCTCTGATTCCGAAGGGGAAGAAGACTCCGCCTCTGGATCTTTGGACCACCACTCACACAACGCCACCCCGCTTCATCCCCATACTCACCTAAACTACGCCGCCGCCGTCGATATATCATGAATATAATCCCTCGCCCTCGGTGGCCCATACCCCGAAGCTTTTCTCGGTGCTACTACTAACATCTCAGAGGAACAAAAACACTACTTCCACTGTCCCTGCAAGATCTTCAGTTAATGCCACACTCGGTGTTCCAAGAACAGCTAGTTTTTCTTTGCGACCAAACAAGAGCACAGTCTCTTGATATTCCACCAAACGGTGGCTGGAAGGAAGCTGAGTGAAGAAGAAAATAATCACAAGAAATGACCATTTCAGCCCTTCACTAACGCTTAACAAACGGATGTTTAACGGAAGGACCCTGGAACAAATCAGATAGTCAAGGTCTATTTCGTTCAAATTAAAAGACAAGGACTAATTTTGGAAAATCACAATAGTCGGAAGACCATTGCTGGAATTAACTCATTAAAAAAGCTTCAAAGTAAGTTCTGCTTTGAGTTTATTTAAAACCTATATATTAAGTCTTTTTAACGACCTCCTCAGTGGAGGCGTTATTAGCTCTTTGTGTTTCATAGGTAGGTTGAGAAAGTATATGAACAGATACTACAATGTAATGGGGCTAGTAGCATTCAAAAAAAAAAAGTCTTTTTAAAAATTTTAATAAGTATTTCTAAATAATTTAAGAAATATACCAACCTAATACAAAATTAATATATAACTATATAAGCATATCGCTACAATGCAAACATAATAGTATTAAAACATATATAAAATAAAATAAAACAAGTCAACTTCAATATGCTTGTTAACTTGTTTAGGAATGAATTTTGATTGTCATTCTATATATTTTTTTTTTTTTGAAAGTTGATTGTCATTCTATATAATTTCATAAATAGTTAACAATCAACTCACATAATTAAGTCGTGAGACTTCATTAAATATTTAACAGTAAGAACAATTAAACAATAAGAACACTTATAGGATTAACAACAATGTTTATAGTTGAATCAGGAATTTAGAATGCGATTTTGGAGGTGGAGGGTTAGGGTTTGAAATTATATATACTTGGAATTATATTGTAAATATAAATATATATTAGGTACAAAATAGAATATATACTAACTTAATATTACAAATAAATTATATATATGTGTAAATAGGCTAGGGCGGCCGAGCTTGGTATAAATGGACCAAAGTCTGGCCTTTTTATTAAACACGCTAGGCTTATGTATGCTTTAAATAGGCTTGGCCTTAGGCTTCTACGAAGGGGCCTGGCCTGGCCTATTCCCACCCCTAACTGTTGCCCATACTGGGGCTTGAACTCATGACTTTCTATTTGAGAGAGCCACTTCATGCTACTCAACCACATGGTTATTGACTTGAACCATTTATATTTAGTCTAAATCTAAAATAATGTGAGTTAGTTAGTTTGTTTTTTTTTTTTTTTAAATCACTTTTTCCTAAACAAATATTTTCGTGTGAATGCACATGAGTTAATTAAAACTATATACTAGTTCAAACCCACCTCCCTTTCTAATGTGGGACAAGAGTTTTTTTTTTTTTCAATTCCAAACCTTTTCCACCTTCATTTATCGACTTAAATGGGTCTACTTTGAGAATTAAAATTCTATTCACCCATTATCCGTGTTAAGTGTATAATATATCAATTTCTTTGTTTCATTTCAAAGAATTCGAGTCGATTTTGACCCGACCCAAATCAAAAATAGACCTCACTAATATTTGTAACATAAAATAGCCACTTAAAATGTCATTTTACACTATTATTTTCCAACACTTTCCTCATACACACACTCCTAAAATTACTTTTCAATACTCCATATTTGCCTTTAATGTATTTTGAATATTTTTTGTTTTTTTCTATATATCCTTTTTTGTTTTAATTTCTTTACTTTTTAGGGAAAATATTTATTTTTAGGATTAATCTCTTACCCAAAAAAAAAAAAAAAAAAAAAAAAAAAAAAAAAACACAATGCAAAATTTTCTCAAATTAACAATTCTCAATAACAATATCATCTTAATAGTGTTTTGGTTCATAATAATTTTAAAAGATTGTGTCTTATTTATCTTTTTTTTTTGAAGCTGTGTCTTATTTATCTATTTTATAAGGAATTACTACTTTTGATTTCATAAACTTCAAACCTGTATGTAGAGGGCAATTAAATGTATTTACGGTTGGAAAAATCAGTTTAAAATGGTATTTTTGTTTTTTTTTGAAAATTAAAATGGTATTTAAAGTGACCTAAATCCTTAAAAAATATGACTAGTGAAAAACGAGCCTTGAAAGTATACCCCTCAAAACTGTTCATATATTGAGATTAATAACTAGAGGAAATTACACTTTTGGTCCTATAACTATAAGGGGCGTGTTAATTTCAGTACTTGATTTTAAAAACTAACAATATAGTCCTATAACTATGCAATTTCTAACACATTTGGTCCTCCCGGCCAAATCGCCGGCGAAATTTGGCCGGAAAAACCAAACCCATTTTAAATTAAATATGAGTAGGGGCAAAACTATCATTTGAACTTCAAGTTTCCGGACCCGAGATTCGTTTTTCAATTCGATGGCGAGCCAGAATGCAGTCCTCAGGTGTTCCAATTCCAAGGAAACATTCGTCAACCGGTTTTCAACTGCAAGTTTAGTTTCCGAACCACTGCAGACTGGAATCAATGGTCCAGGTCCGTCCTGTCTTCTCACTTATTTTACCTTTTTATTTTTTCCGTTTTCCTTTACAAACCGACATGCTTCATGACCACAATTACAGTGGAAATTGCCAAGTGGTACTGTAAAGGAGGGCTTGTTCCATACATATGTGTTGATGTGTTCTAAATTAAAGCTAAAATATGTAGTTGTATTTAAATCTTCGGCGTCACTGGACAAGTGTTCATGTTTAAAGTGAAGATACGAAGCTTTTAAAACTTTAGCCCTTAACAAAATTTTCTTAGGTTGAGGTTAATTTGATTCAATTACTATTTGAAAACTCGACTACTGTTGAAAATGCAACGACATTCTTTGCTTCCTACAGTTTCTTTTCTGATCAACTATCAATCAGTGTTAAGTAGAATTGCTGAACATATTGAAGTATTGAACTGTTTGTCATCATATATTTTGTACTGCATTGTACATCATTTCCGTCGGAGCAAAGCGGTCCTAGAGGTTGGTTGAGTTCATTAGGAAGCGAAAGGGAGCGGCCAGGGAAGGAGCGAAAAGGATGGTCAATTACAGTTCATGTTCTTTCCGGTTCACTGGTTGCCGCTGCATCAATGGTGACTCCATTTGTTGCCTCTCCCAGTTCGGACCTTTGCCCCCACTTGGTCAATTATAGTTCTCGCTCCGATTTGGGAACAGAAATTTGAAGTTCAAATGACCGTTTTGCCCCCACTTATATTTAATTTAAAATGGGTTTAGTTTTTCCGGCCAAATTTCGCCGATGATTTGGCCGGGAGGACCAAATGTGTTAGAAATTACATAGTTACAGGACCAAATTGTTAGTTTTTAAAGTCAAGTATTAAAATTAATACGCCCCTATAGTCATAGGACCAAAATTGTAATTTTCTCTTAATAACTACTAGTATTTGCCCCGTGCGGTGCACGGACAAAAATTTATAAGTATTGTTGTAATGTTATAATACAAAACAGAATTAATTTTATTAAAAATGTAAGTATAGTTATACATTTAATATTTAAATGTTAAGACAATATATGACAAAAAATGCATTAATATTGCTAACCTCATTTGCAATAATGATCTTACAAAGTTAAACGGACAGAGAAAGACCCGGACCACCTCGTGGTTTACACACAAAAAAATAATGATCTTACAAATCTATTAATATGCATTCACACTTAGGCGGGAAAATTTTTTTGTAAATAAATTATTAAAAAAACTAATCAAAATTACAAACTATTAAAAAGTTACTACATATATATATATATATATATATATATATATATATAAGAGCGCTCATATGCGGCGGGGTCTTACGGTGCGGCGGTGCGGTCAAATTCCAGAATACACCAACAGTGTTAACAATATGCACCAACAGTGTAATAAAAACACACCCCAATAAAATGTAATAAAACATCACAAAATACACCACAGACTCAAAAAAACACACCATATAACTCACCACCCCCAATGGTGTATTTCCGAACAGTGTATAGTGTTTTTACTCACACCTAATGGTGTGTGTTTGGTGATGCAGGGCTCTGTTTACTCTGTTTTGTGTGATGTATTTCCTAACGTTGATGGTGCATATTTGGTGAACTATTGGTGTTGCCGCACCGTAAGAAATAACCGCACCGTAAGACACTACCGCACCTGAACCCGCCTATATATATATATATATATATATATATATATATATATATATAAAATCAAAATTGATATAAAACACTCGTAGAAATTAATTAATGATTACATGAATTTATAAATTTGTACACATTTTTTCATCTTGCATCTTTGTGTTGTATAAACTCAACAATCTCTTTCACACACACACACACGCGCACACACACACACACACACACATATATATATATATATATATATATATATATATATGTATATATATATGTATGTATGTATGTATGTATGTATGTATGTATAAAGATAAAGATAAAGATTTATGATGATTATGAAGTTCCTAAACCATTGATATTCCATAACTCTCAAATGCATCAAATGGAGGGAAAAAATTTCACATTGATTCTGCTATATTATATATAGAGATATTAGCTTGCTATTGGATCACAGCTACTTGAATATATTTTTTCCTAGCATTTCCTGCTCAAAATGCGTTCCATAATAAAGTGATAAAAGTTGTTGCGACCTACTTGGTTAAATCCCCAATCCCAAATATCTACACATTCTAGATCGACAGAGCATTTGGGAGGATGTAAATCACGGTGACTCAATAATTTAGCAGACGTGGTCAAATTTCGGTGTGTACAAGGGATCTGCACACTAGACATAATCCCCACGCTGTCGCCGCAATGATTTGAACTTTAGTCTTTTTTTTTAAATACTGTCTACTGAATCATTAAACTAAATTCGTGCGGATAAAGTAGTTGCTACCGAGAGGCTAGGGATATGAGGTGAAAAAGAGTATTTCGATCTACTGGGTATGAATATTGGAAGAGAATTGTATATATATAGTAGTTGTTTTAGATGTTGACTTTGTGTCTCCAAGGCACCCAATAATTGGCATCAACCTTTTT